ATTATTCGAAAAAGATAGTTGCACATGCATGTTTATAGCAGCACAATTCACCAGTGCAAAATCGTGGAACCAACCCAAATGCCCATCAATCAACAAGTGAATAAAGAAGCTGTGGTGTATATATATACAATGGAATACCTCTCAGCCATAAAAAGGAATGAATTAAGAGCATTTGCAGTGACCTGGATGAGATTGGAGACTATTATTCTAAGTGAAGTAACTCAGGAATGGAAAACCAAACATCGTATGTTCTCACTGACACGTGGGAGCTAAGCTATGAGGATGCAGAGGCATAAGAATGATACAATGGACTTTGGGAACTTGGGGGGAGGAGTGGCAGGGGGTGAGGGATAAAAGACTACAAGTATGGTGAGGTGTATACTGCTCGGGTGATGGGTGCACCAAAATCTCACAAATCACCACTAAAGAACTTACTCATGTAACCAAATACCACCTGTTCCCCAATAGCTTATGGAAAAATAAAATACAAAAATAATTAAATTAGATATGTCCCAGGAACTTACTAGACAGATAGAGTATTTAGAGAGATAAAGACCTGCCTCCTGGGTTTTCTGATTCCAGAGCCAGTATCTCAACCTCAGTACTGCCAGTTTTCCCTGTCTTAGTACTAGGCTGTAGGAGACAACATTAGGAAGACAGTAGTTCCTGGCCTGGTAATACTGACAATTTCATAGGAAATACACGTGTAGCAAATCATGAGACCCCAACAAGGACAGTACAGTATCAGAGAATGAATCTCATGTTATGGGAGTACTTTTAAAAGAGCAGATTTGGGAACATTGACTTTGCTTGTTCTGGGGTTGTGGCAGTCAAGGGAGTCAGTCTTCAGAGGGGAGATAACATTTCAGCTGGGTCTTGAAGAAAAAGGAGTTTTTCTGGCTCGAAGGTGGTGGAGAGGATGGCTGTAGGCAGAGAAACAGCATCCTCAAATACACAGTGTCATGTAATTGGTGATGTGTGAGATGACCACAAGATTCTAACCGTGGTGAACAAGTGAACAGGAAAAAGAGCAAGTACAATAATGTGAGGGAAGAGCAAGATATAATGAATTGAGTTTGGAGCTTGCTGAAGTGGGTTGGTATTCCAGGTCAAAATGTCTAATCAACAGTGAAATGTTACATAATACAGATTTGGAGCTTTTAACAGGTGGTAAGTGAGGTACAGATCTGGGAGTCATTGGTGACTAATGGATGGTTAAACCAGTGAAGGAGGCCGAGATCACCCAGGGGGACGTTTAATTCAAGAGGAGCAGATAATGGAGCATAACACCTTAGAGCCCTGAACTTTAGCTAGCAATCCTGTGGTACCATTTATCCATATATGGATTAAATGGATTGTTGGATTTGGCTTAAGTCCCTAGCCACCATTTAGAAAAGTTTCTATGTAGAAGTGCAGAGTAAGTTCAAGTAACTTACAATTTAATTTGGGGCCACAAACTGAAGTTGGAGCTTGGTTGTGCTTCTTTTTACATATCCTAAATATACCTTTTTACTCTATGGCTCAGTGTGCTGGAACTTGGAAAGCAATTCCTGGCTTAGCCTGCCTACACACTTTGCATTTTTATTGCATTTGAGCATATCTTCAGCTGTACTTGGTATTTGAGGCTTACTTGGTTCATTTGTAATTCAAGTATGATGACATACAACTGGTACAATTTAGGAGTGACTGTCATGTGCCTGGCACTGTGTTGAACTGTTGTTTGTTCACTTCTGCCACTGTGATTAGTACCCTAAGGAACTGGGAGTGTGGTGAGTTTTTAACTCAAGTAGGGCCTTTTCAGAGAGTAATATTGGAGTTAAAAAGGCATTGTTTGCAGTGTCAGGAATATTGATGTGGCGAGGCTCTCAGAACCTCTTTCTTAGGCCTCTGTGATGTTACAGTAGTCTCACTTTATCCAAGGTTTCGTTTTCCACAGTTTCTGAAGAAATCGCGCACCACCCTACTGTGTCCACTCAGGATGTGAATCCTCCCTTTGTTCAGCATATCCATGCAGTACCTGCTCCTCAGTCACTCAGTAGCCACCTCAGTTGTCAGAGCTCCCGTAAAGGTATTGCAGTGCTTGTGTTCAACTAACCTGTATTTTACTTATAATAGCCCCAAAGCTGCAAGAGTAGCGATGCTGGCAATAAGCATATGCCAGCTAGAAGCTGTAAAATACTTCCATTATGTGAAAAGGTGAAAGCTCTTGATTTAATAAGGGGGGAAAATCGTAAGCTGAGGCTGCTGAGATCTGTAATAAGAATGAATCTTCTATCCATGAAATTGTGAAGAGGGAAAAAGAAATTCATGTGTAGCCTGTGTATGTTTGGTACTATCCACAGTTTTGGGCATCCACTGGGAATCTTGGAATGTTTACCCCATGAATAAGGGGGGACTACTATATTCTATAATTCTTGGTCTCATTTTTATTAAAATAGTGTGAAGTGTTTTATTTTTGTTGTTGTTTCAAGTACATTTGCGAGAGTGAAACCCTCTGCTCTTTGCTGTGTTTACTATGTGTGACTATTATTAGAGATCTAGGACTATACTTACTATTTGGCACAAACTGACTATTCAGTGTCCTTGGTTTTATTTGTAATATACAAAACAAGAGGCTGGTTCACTGTAAGAGCTGCTTGTGACTTCCTGTAACCACTTAGTAAGAACAATAGTGATTTACAGTACCCATAATGCCTCTGAGAAAAGAACTTCTTTTAATAACTCAGCCTTCGTGTGGGGTAAGGTGGGGGGATATTCTTGTTTCATTAAAGACTGTGACTTCAGAAGTTCAGGATAAGTTTGGGGCAGTGGTGCTGGGCTGAGAGGAGGGCTTGGCAGGGCTCAGGCCTGGCTGAGTGGAGAGCTGAATGCCTGGGGAAGAGGAAGAGGAAGTGATTCCAGACCTCATGCCTACCCTTGGATTTTCTCTGGACCTCCTCCCCCTTTCAGAGCACACCAGTGCAACTTGTAACTGCCAGCAGTAGCATTTATTTGCCTGAGTCCTTTTGCCTCTGGAGCCCATTTTGACTATCCACATGGCAGGCCAGAAGTTCAGGAGCATCCTGGGAGAAGGAGCACACCCCTGGGAGAAGCCTTCAACCAGTAACTAACAGGAGGTGGAGTACAGATATCACAGCTCTGTCACCCCTTGGCTTGGATAGCTGATGTGTACACCTTACACTGGCTTCCCAGCAGACTTCAGCTTGTCACCCACCGTGGTAGCTGGCTTGACAACACTCTTTATTGGTTGCTTTCCCTTTCTTGTCACGCTTCTCCACTTCCCTATTGGTGTTTGCCTTCATCTCTCAAATGAACCCTCTCACTAGAGTATTTGGCTCAGGAGATGCTTTTGGGGAAAGCTAAGAAGAACTAAAACACCTCACCTCTTTCAGAGAGAAAGTTTCAGGCTTCTGGTGTAAATGCCCTCACACTTACAAGGTGGGCATGATGAGAAGGGAATCAATGTGAAGACCTTAGTTAGGTGGCCCAGATTACAAATATGCCTGCTAGCAAGCACCTGTTGGGGTACTTGGAAGAGAGTGCTTGGAAGGGCATGGGCTACCTTTGATTTCTTTCTCTGAGCTTGACGCTGACTATTCCTCTTCTATCCATACATTCTTTCTTGACACTGGGCACAGTTCTTTTGACTAGGATTCTGTTTTCTAAATGACCATCATATTCCAGCCTTGCCTCTCAAGATGATGCCAAGTCATCTTGATGGAGCAGCAAGTCTACCAAAGCTTTAAGTGTTTACAGGCAGTCTCTTGGTTTATTTCCTAGAGCTAAAGATGTATTATTTCATCAGCCTAGCACCTTGTCCCTTCTAGGATCTGTCACATAATCCCCTATTTCAGCCACTTAATCCTGTGAGACCTGCCAGGTCCTTCAGTATAATTGAGGGATATCTGCTAGCCATACTTTCCTCCAGACACAGTTGCTTGAAGAGTACATGTGAAGTGGAAAACTGGAGACAAGAGTGATACCTAGGTTTGAGTCATTGTTTGGGTCCCAGCCCAAGCACACTGCTCCCCAGGGCACGTTGACACAATGGAAAGAATCTACATGGTGTTTCCTGTTGGGGGTCAGGGGTGGTTACAAGTAGTCAACCACATATTGCATCTCTTGCACCAGAGGGCAATGCAGTGAGAGATGTATAGAGGGGTCTCTGAAAACCTCACATTTAGGAAAAGAAAGCCTTTTAACCAAGACCAAAAATGTTAAATGGCTTGCTCAAGATTTCACAGCTAGGAAGTGACAAAGCTGGGATTAAACCCTAATTACAGAGCCCATGGTCTTTACCACAGGCATGTGGGTGGCAGAGGACCCAGTGACTGGGAGAGTTTTCACAGTGGAAGTGAAAACAGGTGAGCATGATAGCAAGGTTTCCTGGAGAACTAGGTGGGGAATGAAAAACAACATGGCTCATCATACCCCTATAAAGATACAGCTTCACGGACTTCCATGGCAGAAAAACTATTACCCAAGAGGTGAGCACATAGCTAAACTCTTTTCCTTCGCTTCTTCGCTTCTTTGATGCCATCAGAACTGCTTTGAAGAGTTTCCTTGAAAAACAAAGCTCCCCAGATTGCAGTCCTGGGGACTGTCAAACCGTAAACCTTTAATAAGCCCTCCAGCACCGCTGACACCTGGATACTCGGGGGACTTGGAGAATCCTTAACGTCTCTAATTTCTGGTTTGCCTTTTTCCTGGGACCGCCGGGACGCAGCCATCCACTTCGATATTGAAACTGTGCCAAAGCTAAGGCTTAAGTGGAAACAAATGGAATATATCCTTGTTACTGACCCGGCTTTGCCAGCATGCTCCCTTATCATCCCAAACGCCCCTGTGGGCTTCCTCCCACCCGCCTGTCTACTTCCTTTACAAGAGGCTAAGCCGACACCACGCGAGCATGTACGCGCTGGGGAAGGAGACCCCGAAGTGAAGCCCTGTCGGAGGAGTTACGGGCGGGAGTGGGAACGGCTAGGGGTGGGGGCAGCAACGGCGCCGCCGGCAGGGTGGGGGGAGCGAGGCTTGTCAGAGCTGGAGCGCGTCACCGTCGCCGCGAGAGACGCCGCGCTGCCCAATAGGCAGAGGCGCTCCCTAGCAGCCTGGTGGGAGTAGAGATATAAAAGTGCTCCAACAAACCCGGAGCTGGGGTGCCGACCGCGGGCTGCTGGCGGGCTGCGCTGTGCTCCGCGGGTCCAGGTTAACTGGCTCCTCGGGACGGCCTTGCACGCTCTGCGCCCCGCACTCCGGCTGCGGCCCCGAGCCCGGCGAGAGGGCGCCCGACCCGCAGGCTCCAAGGGGAGGGGTGGCTCATGCAAAATGGTCCCTCACCTCTTGGTGCTCTGTCTCCTCCCCTTGGTGAGAGCCACCGAGCCCCACGAGGGCCGGGCCGACGAGCAGAGCCTGGAGGCGGCCCTGGCCGTGCCCAATGCCTCGCACTTCTTCTCCTGGAACAACTACACCTTCTCCGACTGGCAGAACTTTGTGGGCAGGCGGCGCTACGGCGCCGAGTCCCAGAACCCCACGGTGAAAGCCCTGCTCATCGTGGCTTACTCCTTCATCATTGTCTTCTCACTCTTTGGCAACGTCCTGGTCTGTCATGTCATCTTTAAGAACCAGCGAATGCACTCGGCCACCAGCCTCTTCATCGTCAACCTGGCAGTTGCCGACATAATGATCACGCTGCTCAACACCCCCTTCACTTTGGTAAGGGGCCCGCTGCCTGCCGCCCCACCTTCTCTCTTCGTCTCCCTCTCCTGTCTCAGTTCTCCGGCCTCCCTCTGCCGTTCTGTGTCTCTCTGTGGGTCCCCACTTCTGTCTCCACGTCTCTCTTCCTCCTCATTTCTCCTCTCCTCTGCCTCTGTCTTCCTCTCCTAGTCTCTTTTCTCTCTCCTCTGTCATCTCGGTTCTTGACTCTCTCCTCTGTTTTTCTTAGTCTTTCTTTCAGTCTCTGTCTCTCTCTCTGAAGTCTTTCTGTCTTTCTTCTCCCTCTCTGTCTGTGTGTCCTCATCTTTTTTTTTTCTGTCTTTCTGTCTCCCTATTCCTCTCTGTCTCCTCACCTCTTATCTCTTTTTCTTCTTGTCAGTCTCTCTGTGATTTTATTTTTCTATTCTCTCTCCTCTCCCCTCCTCTCCTCTCTTCCTCTCTCTCCCCTGCCACACTCTGATTCCTCCCCACTTCTTTCTGTCTCATCACTTTATAAGCCAGAGCTTCTGCGGAGGTGGCATTGGGTCAATAGTTTGAGTGTCTGCAGCCAGCTGGAAATGAATGACCATTTCCTGTTTAATCTCACTGGGTCTGAGCTTGCTTGATAATTGAGCAGTAAATCAATGCCCCTGAAATGTCAGCAGAGATGATCAGGTCCCCCTCCCTCTGAAGTGCAGCCTATTCAGTGCCCCCCCGTACCCATGGGATGCTGCTTTGTGCTACAACTGAAATATCAAACAACTGCTAATTTTTAATGGAACATTAAGTGCATTTTCCCAGACCACTTATTTAAAGTGCATTTCCCTTCTGTGGGTTGATAATGAGGCTGTGTTTGAGGTCTGTTGAGGAAGAAATGAGGGGAGTGGGCTTGGGCCACAGAGATCGGGCAGGCTGGGGGCATTTGCACATTGCAGCTAATGGAATTCCTCCCCCAAGCCCTGGCTACTTAGCACTGGTGGTGTCCCGCTGTGACCAGGGAGTGTGGCTCTCATGGATGCTTTGGGACTGTAAGGGCGATGACTGAGCAACCATAGTGACAGTTATACTGCATGTTTCTCTAGTGTGTTATATTTTTTCATTTTATGGAATAACTATTATTTGAGTGATTACTAAAGCAATATCTGTTAATCCCTCTCTGTCTCTCTCCCCACTATCTCTCGTACACACACAACCAGATATCACAGACAAGCAAAAAACACAGGATGAATCCCCACAAGTCCATCAGCTGTGTGAACATCCTTCCAAATCTTATATTGAAAAAGTGCCCTCACATTCTCTTTTTCATCCTCACTTATTAGAATATTACTCACATTTTGCAGATGAGAAAACTAGGGCACAGAGAGGTTCAGTCCCTTGTCCAAAGCCACCTGGCCAGTAGCTGGCAGATCGAGGGTGAGAATTCCATCCCCTAACTCAAATCCAGAGGTCGGTGCACTAAGCCAGCCAGCTGGGAGTAAAGAACACTCTTGGACCATGTTTAGCTTCTGCTACTCCAAACCCTGGACTTGTTCTGATCTCCTTTCAGCCTACATCTAACGTATTGATAGCTGCTCAATATCCCCTGGGCATTACCCAAGGATGAGTGGGCTTTCAAATACTCCCCTCCTCCCTGGGTGTCTCAAAGCACAAGACAACAGCATCCCTGCCACCCCTTGCCCCTTCCTTGGTTTCTGACCTGAGAACCTACAATGGTGCGGTTGGGCTGGTCTACCCAGGTTGGGCACTGGGAAACCACAGAACATGGCCTTTTTTGCTGCTGCCCAGAGCCAGGATGCAGGGCTGGATCTGCAGCAGACACAAGAAGGGGTAGGGAGGCCATGGACTCAAGGACAGGCTACACCTGACAGCTGGCAATACCTGCCCCAGAGGATCTCCTGCAAGAGATATATAGGATGTCAAGGTCCTCAGAACCCAGCACCCCCTCCAGTATGAGCCAAAGCAGCTTAGCCTTGAACCTGATCCATCAAACTGCCCCAATCCAAATTTGGATTACAGCTTATAAGGTGCTGGCAGGTAGGAAAGGGAGAAGGTTATGGGGAGGGGCTTCCAACCCCTCGGCCTACTCAGCTCAGGCTCCCCCACTGGGAAAGGCATGCCTGCCTTTGGCTGATTGGCAATGATATCCTTCTTCCCTGGTCTCCCTTCCTATCCACTTCATCTACTGCAGTCAGCATGAAACCCAGCCCTGATAATGGGGAGAAAAGCAGACAATTACTTACAGTTCCCCTGGTAGATAAGAGATAGATGTACACAGAATGTAGTGGAGCCTGGAGGAGGGAGTCTTTCATTCCGACCCATCAGAGTCCCATGAGAGGGTTAAAGGAGACTGCAAAGAATGTGACATTTCAACAGGACCTGGCTGAATAGGAATTTTCCAGGTCGAGATGAACACTTAGTGCAGACAGAGGGACCAGGGAGAACAAAGGCATTGAAGCATCAAAGTTCATGGTGTGTTGTGGGAATGCTGAGTGGCTCAATGAAGCTGGAGCAGCAGGAAGCACAGTGGAGGAGTGGGCAGGGGAGGCAGAAGCCTCATATGTTGTAATAATAATATGTTGTATGTCTCATATGTTGTAATAATGGCAGTTGATAGCGTTAATGTACTAGGCACTATTGTACCTACTTTACATATGTTATCAACCTTGATTGATGTAACAACCATGTGAAAAGGGTTAGCCCATTTTACAGATGAGGAAAGTGGGGCTCAGAGGGCCCAATGCCTTGCCCAAGGTCACAGTGATCAGTGGCAAACACTCTGCTGTAAGTCACTACATTATACTCCTTCTCTTGGGCCGACTTGCCCTGTTTCTATGCCTCTGTGCCTCTGCCCCCTCCCATTCCTATCTGGTGGCCCCATTGCCCTTTGTCTGGGTCTCTACAAAGCATTGATTACTTTCTGTCTTGCACTTGAGTTGACCCTCCTCTGCCCTGGCTGCCAACTCCTTAATCAGAATCAATGCTCAATCTCTCAGGCATGGGATGTTACTCACAGGAGCTGCTCAAGTACTAATTGAATGAGTAAATAGTGCTGGGTGATGTGGGATAAGGACCGGGCCTGCTTCTAGGGCCCTACACGGTTTTGAGAGCTTGTCTTCTCTCCCCACACCTGTCAACACCTCTCCAGGTCCCTGGATCTCCACCCCAGATGATGACCTGCAAGGCCAGTTTAGCCAAGATTTGCCAGCACAGCCTGCATGCATGCTGTGTTGTGACAATTCAGATGTGTCTCCCCTACTAGAGTGAACTTGTGTGGACCAAGAGTGAATTTTGTTATTGCACATAAAAATAGCTACTATTTACTTCTAATAATAGCTGAACAATCTGCCAGACATTGTGTTTTGCCCTTTACAGACATTTAAAAAATTTAAACCTTATACTAAGCCTATAAGGAAGAGATTTTTGATGGCGCTTTTTTTTTTTTTTTTTTTTTTTTGCAAATGAGGAAACAGATTCAGAGAGGTTACCTATCTTGCCCAGGCCCTCACAGTAAGAAACTGTTAGAGGTGGGAAGTCCAACTCCAAAGCCCACATCCTTCCCAAGCTCTCCTGGCACCTAACGGAGCCTGGCCCAGAAGCATGATCAGGGTTTGCTGAATTGAATGAATGAAAATGAGTTGTGCTGGAGAAAATCATGTTTACTCCACAATTCAGTCTCATAGACAGAAAGAAGGGAGGAGGTGGAGGAATCCTCCTAAGGGCATGCTCCTCAGAGACCTCTAGGGATGGGTGTCAAAGTCAAGGCCTGTCTGTCTCCTAACATCTTTGGGCTCATCTCCAGGTTCGCTTTGTGAACAGCACATGGATATTTGGGAAGGGCATGTGCCATGTCAGCCGCTTTGCCCAGTACTGCTCCCTGCACGTCTCAGCACTGACGCTGACAGCCATTGCGGTGGACCGCCACCAGGTGAGGGCACCTACCCCTAATGCTCTGCTCTTCCCTGTCTTGCTTCCCCTTCCTGGAAGTTGCAGGGGCTCCGAAGACAGTGTTTTAACCCAGTTTTCAATGAGTGTGTTTCTCTTCTTATTGATCAACATGAACACATAAGTTAGTGATATTAAACCCTTTGTCCTAATTGTCACAGAAAGTTATTCTTAGTTTGTTGATCCAATGAATACTCATTGCTGGCATTTTCTTTTTTCTTTTTCTTTTCTTTTTTTTTTTTTGAGACAGAGTCTCACTCTTGTCGCTTAGGCTGGAGTGCAGTGGCGCCATCTTGACTCAACCTCTGCCTCCTGGGTTCAAGGAATTCTCCTGCCTCAGCCTCCTGAGTAGCTGGGATTAGAGGTGCCTGCCACCATGCCCGGCTAATTTTTGTACTTTTAGTAGAGGTGGGGTTTCGCCATATTGGCCAGGCTGGTCTTGAACTCCTGACCTCAGGTAATACACCCACCTCGGCCTCCCAAAGTGCTGGGATTACAGGCGTGAAACACCGTGCCCGGCCATTGCTGGCATTTTCTGTCTCAGAAATTAGTGAGCTTGTTTTGAGGATAGAAAAGCAAACCCGGAAAATCACAGATTAAAGGAGAGGAGTAATTGCAGGTCAGAGACGAGGCTTCAGAGTGAGAAATGAATATTTACCAATTCAGGCTGTTCAGGCGGAAAACAAGCCAGGATGTCCAGGTGGCAAGAGCAGGCATTGCAGTGGAGCATGGCAGCCCTGGGTCAGGAAGGTATTCTAACAGTTCTGCCCCCATGGGAAGCTCATAGGTATATATGGTGAAAGGAACTGACCAGGACATCTAAGTAGGACAGCTTCATGCCAGGCGCCTTTTCCATGCTTACTCAATGAACTCACGTTGTATGCTTAGACCTATGCTGAATTATAGAATGGAGGCTCAGTAAAGTGCATATGTAGCTTTTTCAAGATCATGTGCCTATGAATGGTGAAGCTAGGATTAGGACTGAGGTCTGTCTGGCTCCAAGCCCATGTTCCAGTCACTAGACCATGCTGTTCTGAGAAGGCTCAAAGGAATCTACAAGGCCAGTATTATGAGGGCCACCAGACACAGAAAGATGAGATTTATTCTGAGTAGCACCATGAGATGCAACAAGGACCACGGGATAGGAGGCTTCAAAGATGCAGTTTCAAAGATACAGTCAGTCCAATGTGGGAAGAATTCTCTCGTAGATGTGTCTAAAGGTAGACACACCTGCCTGGGAGGTAATGAGTTTCATGTCACCAGCCATATTTAAGCAAAGTGAGAATGACAACTTGATGGGGAGGTATTTGAGGAGATTCCTGCATCTGATAAGGGATGGGACTAGTCAAATTTTGAGATCTCTTTATCTCTGAAATGCCATAATTTTGTAAGAATCAACTCTTAATGTATGTTGCAGATGCTTTAGTGTAAAGTGTGAAAAGTTTGCATATCAGTATTTCCTGCCTTTTCTTAACTGTCTCCCTTAATTTAACTAGAAGGACTTCTGATTACTTTTACCTGGCCTATGCTTACCCCAGATTAACGCAACCGAGCACTGACCATGGGCTAAGGGTGGGTCTGGGGAATAGGGGCAAAGCCTTGCTCATGTTGACCATGTTACCGCAACATATACCCCAACAAGGGGCTCTGTCCCAAGGTCAACGGAGTCTTTGAGAAGTGCTTGGAGCCTCTGCCCCAGGCTGCCACTCTCTTCAGCAATCTGAACACAAGAGTGTGAGGGGCAGAGATGGCTGAATCCAGAACGGAGATATGCTGTCAGCTTCTGAAGCCTCATTGCTTCTTCCCATAAAACCTTGAAAACACTGGGAGGAATAAAAAAAAAGTTCAGGACACAGCCAGAATGTCCAGTGTGTTCTGGGATGGCATCTAGAGGTGGTGGCACCTCTTCCTGACCTCTTCCCCCTAACGCTGGACTAACCTATCACAAATGCCTTTTTCAAAAAAGAATGTTCTCATCTGAAAATGAGGATGGTTTTAAATCCCTAAGTCTTTATTTAAACCTTTTAGGAGAATTGATTGATATACAGTAGCAACTCCAAGATGCATTTCAGCCTGAAGCCTGCAACACTGAGTTTATTATGGGTGTGTGAGACTTGGGGCCTGCTGCAATTTTAGTAATGGCTTTCATAAACATGTTGGGAGTTCCCACATAAGTGCCCATGCAGCTTCCCAGGATGAGTGATGAGAATGGTCTCTTCCTGTCTGTCAGACCCTCTCAGAGTCCATCATAACCTAAGGGGTCTAGAATCATGGGAAGATGAGCTCAGGTCCCGAGGAGATGGGAGCTGACCATGGACTTGCTCCTCTCCCAGCCTCACTGTGATGCCATGTGAGCAGCCTTCCTCCTAGACCCCTTCCCAATCCTCTCACTGGACCCTGGTTCAGCCTGAGTATGATCAGCAAGAGGCAGATGACCTGCCCCGGGTCTCTGAATCCAGATGACCCTTTCTTTCCTCCTCTGGAGGTGGGCTGTTGGGTGGGACATGGCTGGGCCTCCTCTCCCCCAGCAGCTACCTGGTGTAGCTCAAGGGCTCGATAATGAACATAAGGGGTGCTTGACTTTATCAATAGGGCCTGCCTTATATGACAAGTGAGCTGTGCCATCCAGATTTCTTTTTATTTATTTATGTATTTTCATTTAAAAAAAAAAAAATAGAGAGAGGCAGGGTCTCACTATGTTGCCCAGTCTGGTCTAGAACTCCTGGGCTCAAGTGATTCTTCTGCCTCAGCCTCCCAAAGTGCTGGGATTACAGGCGTGAGCTCCTGCACCTGGCCCAGATTTCTGATTTGTTCCAAAATGTCTTCAGTTAGTGATGCGGTTTGCTTGTTTTCCAGGTCATTATGCACCCCTTGAAACCCCGGATCTCAATCACAAAGGGTGTCATCTACATCGCTGTCATCTGGACCATGGCTACGTTCTTTTCACTCCCACATGCTATCTGCCAGAAATTATTTACCTTCAAATACAGGTGAGATGAATTCGTAGGGATCCACCTGGTGATTCGCGTCTTCTCCCGAGTCAGGCTCGACCAAGGAATACCTGAGGCCCCCAGGAGCTCACAACTCTCTGAGTGACTAGTACCTGCCTCACTGAGTCTTTCTCTGGCTCACTCCCATCCTGTTACCTCCTGGTCCATGCCTGTCCTCTACATTTTGTCTGCTTTCTCTCTTCTTTAGCTTCTCCCTTATTCTCTTTCCGGGGTTCTCTACAAGGACAAAGCAATAGTTATCAGCGTCTGTCACCAGGGTGCTGTACTCACGCAGCCTGAGATCCCAGTCACCAAGGCCTTGTTGAAAAGGAGCAAGGTGTAAACCACTCACACTATCTACAAACAAAACCTGCATGCAAGTCTGAGCCTGAGGCAGGCTTCTCTATCTCCCCCACCTCCTGTGCATGTTTATCTTATGCTCTACTGAATGAGAACGTCTTTCTTTCAACACACAGTTTTTTAAAACTTAAACTGCTTCATTAGGTGATCTCCCTGCTGCACTGTCAGTTTGGGAAGAACTGGCCCTGTTTCTTTGTTATCTCGGTGATCCCCACTCTTAGCTTACTGTCTCCACACATTTACTGAATGAATGATCTTAGAGTGACTTTTTTTTTTTTTTTTGAGACAAAGTCTCGTTCTGTTGCCCAGGCTGGAGTGCAATGGCAGGATCTCAGATCACTGTAACCTCCGCCACCGGGGTTCAAGCAATTCTCCTGCCTCAGCTTCCCAAGTAGCTGGGATTACAGGCACGCACCACCATTCCTGGCTAATTTTTTGTGTTTTTAGTAGAGACGGGGTTTCACCATGTTGGCCAGGCTGGTCTTGAACTTCTGACCTCAGGTTATCTGCCCACCTTGGGCTCCCAAAGTGCTGAGATTACAGGCATGAGCCACTGTGCCCAGCCTCTTAGAGTGATTTTTGTCATTTGTTATTGTTGTTGTTGGTCACTGGTATGTCTTTTTTAAAAATTTTTAAATTATACTTTAAATTATGGGGTGCATGTACAGAACATGTAGTTTTGTTACATAGGTATACACGTACCCTGGTGGTTTGCTGCACCCATCAACCCGTCACCTACATTAGGTATTTCTCCTAATGTTGTTCCTCACCTAGTTCCCACCCCCTGACAGGCCCCAGTGTATGATGTTCCTCTCTCTATGTCCATGTGTTCTCATTGTTCAACTCTCACTTATGAGTGAGAATATGTGGTGTTTGATTTTCTGTTCTTGTCATAGTTTGCTGAGAACAATGGTTTCCAGCTTCATCCATGTCCCTGCAAAGGACATGAACTCATCCTTTCTTATGGCTGCATAGTATTCCATGGTGTATGTGTGCCACATTTTCTTAATCCAGTCTATCATTGATGGACATTTGGGTTGGTCCAAGTCTTTGCTATTGTGAATAGTGCCGCAGTAAACATATGTGTGCATATGTCTTTATAGTAGACTGATTTATAATCCTTTGGGTACATACCCAATAACGGGATTGCTGGATCAAATGGTATTTCTAGTTCTAGATCCTTGAGGAATCACTACATTGTCTTCCACAATGGTTGAACTAATTTACACTCCCACCAACAGTGTAAAAGCATTCCTATTTCTTCACATCCTCTCCAGCATCAATTGTTTCCTGACATTTTAATGATTGCCATTCTAACTGGTGTGAGATAGTATCTCACTGTAATTTTGATTTGCATTTATCTGATGATCAGTGATGACAAGCATTTTTTCAAATGTCTCTTGGCTGCATAAATGTCTTCTTTTGAGAAGTGTCTGTTCATATCCTTTGCCCACTTTTTGATGTTTTTTTTTTTTCTCGTAAATTTGTTTAAGTTCTTTGTAGATCCTGGATATTAGCCCTTTGTCAGATAGATAGATTGCAAAAATTTTCTCCCATTCTGTAGGTTCACTCTGATGGTAGTTTCTTTTGCTGTGCAGAAGCTTTTTAGTTTAGTTAGATCCCATTTATCAATTTTGGCTTTTGTTGCCATTGCTTTTGGTGTTTTAGACACTAAAAGGAAGTCTTTGCCCATGCCTACAGCCTGAAGGGTATTGCCCATTCTAGGATTTTTATGATCCTAGGTCTTAGTTTAAGTCTTTGATCCATCTTGAGTTGATTTTTGTATAAAGTGTAAAAAAGGAGTCCAGTTTCAGTTTTCTGCATATGGCTAGCCAGTGTTTCCAACAACATTTATTAAATAGGGAATCTTTCCCCCTTGCGTGTTTGTGTCAGGTTTGTCAAAGATCAGGTGGTTGTAGATGTGTGGTGTTTTTTCTGAGGCCTGTGTTCTGTTTCTTTGGTCTATATATCTGTTTTGGTACTAGCACCATGCTGTTTTGGTTACTGTAGCCTTGTAGTATAGTTTGAAGTCAGGTAGCGTGATGCCTCCAGTTTTGTTCTTCTTGCCCAAGATTGTCTTGGCTATGTGGACTCTTTTTTGGTTCCATATGAAGTTTAAAGTGGTTTTTCCAATTCTGTGAAGAAACTTAGTGGTAGCTTGATGGGGATACCATTGAATCTATAAATTACTTTGGGCAGTATGGCCATTTTCATGATATTGTTTCTTCCTATCCTTGAGCATGGAATGTGTTTCCATTTGTTTGTGTCCTCTTTTATTTTGTTGAGCAGTGGTTTGTAGTTCTCCTTGAAGAGATCCTTCACATCTCTTGTAAGTTGTATTCCTAGGTATTTTATTCTCTTAGTAGCAATTGTGAATGGGAGTTCACTCATGATTTGGCTCTCTGTTTCTCTGTTATTGGTGTATAGGAATGCTTGTGATTTTTGCACATTGATTTTGTATCCTGAGACTTTGGTGAAGTTGCTTATCAGCTTAAGGAGATTTTGGGCTGAGACTATGGGGTTTTCTAAATACACAATCTGCAAACAGAGACAATTTGACTTCCTCTCTTCTTATTTGAATATCCTTTCTTTCTTTCTCCTGCCTGATTGCCCCGGCCAGAACTTCTAATACTATGTTGAATAGGAGTGGTGAGAGAGGGCATCCTTGTCTTATGCCAGTTTTCAAAGGAATACTTCCGGTTTTTATCCATTCAGTATGATATTGGCTGTGGGTTTGTCACATATAGTTCTTATTACTTTGAGATACGTTCCATTAATACCCAGTTTATTGAGAGTTTTTAGCATGAAAAGGTGCTGAATTTTGTTGAAGGCCTTTTCTGCATCTATTGAGATAATCGTGGTTTTTGTCATTGGTTCTGTTTATGTGATGCATTATGTTTATTGATTTGTATATGTTGAACCAGCCTTGCATCCCAGGGATGAAGCTGACTTGATCGTGGTGGATAAGGTTTTTGATGTTCCGCTGGATTCAGTTTGCCAGTATTTTATTGAGGATTTTCGTATTGATGTTCATCAGGGTTATTGGCCTGAAATTTTCTTTTTTTGTCGTGTCTCTGCCAGGTTTTGGTATCAGCATGATGCTGGCCTAATAAAATGAGTTGAGGAGGATTCCTTCTTTTTCTATTGTTTGGAATAGTTTCAGAAGGAATGGTACCAGCTCCTCTTTGTACCTCCGGTATAATTTGGCTGTGAATCCATCTGGTCCTGGACTTTTTTTGCTTGGTAGACTATTAATTACTGCCTCAATTTCAGAACTTATTAGTGGTTTGTTATGGGTTTTGACTTCTTCCTGGTTTAATCTTGGGAGGGTGTATGTGTCCAGGAATTATCCACTTCTTCTAGATTTTCTAGTTTGTTTGTATAGAGGTGTTTATAGTATTCTGTGATGGGAGTTTGTATTTCTGTGGGATCAGTGGTGATATCACCTATATCATTTTTTATTGCATCTATTTGATTCTTCTCTCTTTTCTTCTTTATTAGTCTGGCTAGTGGTCTATCTATTTTGTTGATCTTTTCAAAAAACCAGCTCCTGGATTCATTGATTTTTTTTTAAGGGGTTTTCGTGTCTCTATCTCTATCAGTTCTGCTCTGATCTTAGTTATTTCTTGTCTTCTGCTAGCTTTTGAATGTGTTTGCTGTTGCTTCTTGAGTTCTTTTAATTTTGATGTTAAGGTGTCAATTTTCGATCTTTCCTGCTTTCTCTTGTGGGCATTTAGTGCTATAAATTTCCCTCTACACACTGCTTTAAATGTGTCCCAGAGATTCTGGTACGTTGTGTCTTCGTTCTCATTGGTTTCAAAGAGCATCTTTATTTCTACCTTCATTTCGTTATTTACTCAGTAGTCATTTCATAGCTAGTTATTCAGTTTCCATGTAGTCGTGTGGTTTTGAGTGAGTTTCTTAATCCTGAGTTCTAGTTTGATTGCACTGCGGTCTGAGAGATTGTTATTATTTGTATTATTTTGCATTTACTGAGGAGTGTTTTATTTCCAATTATGTGGTCAATTTTGGAATAAGCGTGATGTGGTGCTGAGAAGAATGTATATTCCGTTGATTTGGGGTAGAGAGTTCTGTAGATGTCTATTAGGTCCATTTGGTCCAGAGCTGAGTTAAAGTCCTTAATATGCTTGTTGATTTTTTGTCTCATTGATCTGTCTAATATTGACAGTGGGGTGTTAAAGTCTCCCATTATTATTGTGTGGGAGTCTGAGTCTCTTTGTAGGTCTCTAAGAACTTACTTTATGAATCTGGGTGCTCCTGTATTCGGTGTACATATATTTAGGATAGCTAGCTTTTGTTGCTGCATTAATCCCTTTACCATCATGTAATGCCCTTCTTTGTCTCTTTTGATATTTGTTGGCTTAAAGTCTGTTTTATCAGAGATTAGGATTGTAACTCCTGCTTTTTATTTATTTATTTATTTATTTATTTATTTATTGAGATGGGGTTTCACTCTTGTTGCCCAGGCTGGAGTGCAATGGCACAATCTTGGCTCAATGCAACTTCTGGCTCCCGGGTTCAAGTGATTCTCCTGCCTCATCCTCCCGAGTAGCTGGGATTATAGGCATGCGCCACCATGCCTGGCTAATTTTGTATTTTTAATAGAGACAGGGTTTCTCCATGTTGGTCAGGCTGGTCTCAAACTCCTGAACCTCAGGTGATCTGCCCGTCTCAGCCTCATAAAGTGCTGGGATTACAGGCATGAGCCACCCTGCCGGGCTTCATTTGTTGTGTTAGATGACCTTCCTTAGAGACAGGTTTTGCCTTAAAGTCAGGTACACCTGCAAGTGGCTAATTGAGGCAGTGCTCCCAAGAGCAACGGGAAAGAGAGTGGCAGAGGCTGGACAGGGACCAGGGACAGACTAAGGAAGGGTGTGATTTCAGGGGAAGCTGTCCCTGCCCCACAGGAGGCTCTGGGGCTGACTGAAAATGCAGAGTTGGCCTCAACTTGAGGCCAGGTAACTGGGCTTTCCTATTTCTCCATCTCTCAGTCTTTTGTTACAGGTGTTTCCTAGAAAAACTGAAAACTGCCGGCCAATTATGGCTGTACTGAATCGTGGGAAGGGCCTTGGGTGGCCTTAGGGGAGTCCTAGGCACCTAGAAGATCACAGATGCCAGCTGTTTCTTGCTGGGTGGTTGGTTCTCCAGACTGACAAAGGGGCTCTGCAGGGATCCAGGGAGTGTCTGTCACAGGAGCCATGCTCCACCCCACCTGCAGCACGCGTGCGCACGCGCGCACACACACACGCGCACACACACACACGCGCACACACACACACGCGCACACTCACTCCTGTGACAAAAGCAAGGTCAAGAGAAATAAGCCCAGAAGGTGGATTTCAACTAATTTATAAAGGCCCCCTCCAGGAATTCTAGGACATTGAAATGAATCACATGCCCAGGCCCCCAACATCCAGGCTGCCCTTCTACCTTTCCACATAGAGGACTTATTTTTTCCCCCCTAACAAAAGCAAAGGAAGTTTCCTCTCTCTCTTGGTAGTGATGACCACCAGCACATAGAACTAGAGCACCAAGCCACATGGATATTCCTAAAAAGGCTGAAGAGGACCGGGGTACATTCCATATAAAATAAATACTTGTTCTATGAGTGGCTGAAGAGATGTTAGTTCAGGCTTTACCACTCATATGCTCAAGACCCATCATTTCTTTTCTTTATGCCTTAGTTTTCCCTTTAAAATGGGGAAGTAGCACAATGGGAAATTCTAGGATTTCCTCAAGGATGAGTTACTTTTCAATCTGGGAACATGAGCATTTCATTCATTTATTCAAGAAATATTTATTGGGTCTCTACTATGGGCTAGGAATTGCACAAGATTAAGAGAACACAGAGAAATTCAGGTGTGTCCTTTACCTCTATGCAATTCCCAGCCTAGTGGGGGAGGCAGAAATGTAATCAGATAATTAGGCTACAGCATCAAAAGTGCTTTATTAGATGGATGTACCAGGAGCCCAGTGGAAGGAGAGGCCAGTGCTTCTTGGGATGAAGACTTTCCACACTAATAACTCCTTTCTGTTACCTCTCTCCCCCTCCCTACTTCCTGCCCCCAGTGAGGACATTGTGCGCTCCCTCTGCCTGCCAGACTTCCCTGAGCCAGCTGACCTCTTCTGGAAGTACCTGGATTTGGCCACCTTCATCCTGCTCTACATCCTGCCCCTCCTCATCATCTCTGTGGCCTACGCTCGTGTGGCCAAGAAACTGTGGCTGTGTAACATGATTGGCGATGTAACCACGGAGCAGTACCTTGCCCTGCGGCGCAAAAAGAAGACGACCATCAAAATGTTGATGCTGGTGGTGGTCCTTTTTGCCCTCTGCTGGTTCCCCCTCAACTGCTACGTCCTCCTCCTGTCCAGCAAGGTCATCCGCACCAACAATGCCCTCTACTTTGCCTTCCACTGGTTTGCCATGAGCAGCACGTGCTATAACCCCTTCATATACTGCTGGCTGAACGAGAATTTCAGGATTGAACTAAAGGCATTACTGAGCATGTGTCAAAGACCTCCCAAGCCTCAGGAGGACAGGCCACCCTCCCCGGTTCCTTCCTTCAGGGTGGCCTGGACAGAGAAGAATGATGGCCAGAGGGCTCCCCTCGCCAACAACCTCCTGCCCACCTCCCAACTCCAGTCTGGTAAGACAGATCTGTCATCTGTGGAACCCATTGTGACAATGAGTTAGAGGAGGTTGGGAAGAGGGAGTGGGAGGGGTCTGTCTCCACCCAAGGCAGGGAAAGAGAGCCCATTCTCACACATGATCTTCAGAGTGCTGGAAACATGCTCCTGCAGAAGCTGTAGGACTCTTGAATTCCTAGGAAACTGTCCAGCCTCCTAGCCCCATGTGATGTGAAAACTAAAAGGCACCACCAACTAGACATGTGTTCATAAATTCCCATCTAAGAAACACTGGGAGGCACAGCAGTCTGGATCTCTGAGGAAGAGGAGCAAGGACAACTTTGGCCCAGATGGGGGCTGAATCATTCAACTGCCTCCATCTGTGGGGCAGCTGCTGCCCTACAGCCCTTCCTACTGCTAAGCATCCCGAAGGGAGACCTGCATCACACTTTGGGTGTGGTGACCCAGATGCACAGAGCTCTGCTTGAAACAAGTACACGGGCCAGGGAAATGCCAGCAAGCCAGAGTGGGCGTGGAGATTTTTATGCCTCACTTTCTGGAGTCACTGGGCCATAATGAATCAGAAGTCTTCAGTGGCCTAGCAATACGCAGACAAGAAAGGACCAACTTGGGTTCCTTAAAACAAAGCGCACTTATTATTACCACTTAGAAAAATTCAGAAAAGCATACACACACACACACACAATCACTCTCTTATCCCATCCATTTGTGATAACATCTGTGAACATGCTGTGGCTCTATTTGCAATGTTTTCCTTTGTGTGTGTGACTGTGTGCATGTGTGCATGACCTTTTTTTTTTATTTATACTTTTTCATTTAGATTGTAATAATTAACAGAAACAGGGGTACCTTTCCCAGGGGTGTCCACCAGAAGAGTTGAAGAAGAGGTGAGAAGAACCCAAGGTGAAGCCTGTCACCATGCAGACAGAACTGCCCCCTACCATAGACAGTGGTGGGAAGGGCCTGGCTTACATGCCCCTCCTTAGAGGCAGCCTCACGATGAACCAGGGAATCAAACTCAACCAGGAGGCATGATTCCTCCTCTCCTGCTATTGCGCAAAAACAAGAGGTGGTGAAACGTTGTTCTGTTTTCACAAGAGATGAGGGAGCAGGCTTTCCAATATGCTGGAAGTAATTGTGCTTAGACACCTCATCCTCCCGAGCTGTCTAGAAAGGCATTTTGCTGTGTTTTCTGAATAATGGGAGTTTTTTCACACCATTTCTCAAAAGGACATTCACTGTCAATATCATTTTAGTGGTTCAGGTGTCACTTTGACTTACAGAAACCTATGCATCCTTAAGAAACCTCAATTCTTAAAGGTCTAACTGGCCAGAGAAATCTCATTCCAGGGACTGATTGTTTTTATCACCTTCCATCTGGTCCTGAATGACTCACTGTATCACCCAGAAAAGAGACCTGTCAGGCAGAATCCAGCTTAATTCACCTGCTCTAAACAATTGCGACTGACACACTGCTTTCAGGTTTTCTTCGAGCACCAGATAAACTCTGAAAGCAAAGCATGGATATGAGCTCAGTAGGAAACTAAGGTTTGAGGGAGAGTTTGTCACTTAGACCTCTTGGCTGTTAACTGAAACTGAACCTGGTCACATCATCTGCTTCCCGGTAATGAACTATGAGGGTTCATTATCCTAGTTTCTATTTATGAAGATGGTTGAAAATTTTCAAGACACAAAATTTTGAAAACTCACTTACTGAATTATGGGCAAAACCGTGACTTTCATTGGGCAGAAAGAGTCTTCTAAGCCCACAGGGATCCCCAAAGGGACTTTTCAGGACAAATGGCTCATGTGCCTGTACTTATTGTCTCTGTGGTGTGTCAAGAAGTAGCTAATGGTTTCACCTGAAAGCTGCCATAGAAATTCTATGAACCGGCCGGGCACAGTTGCTCACGCCTGTAATCCCAGCACTTAGGGAGGCCGAGGCGGGCGGATCACGAGGTCAGGAGATCGAGACCATCCTGGCTAACACGGTGAAACCCCATCTCTACTAAAAATACAAAAAATTAGCCGGGCGTGGTGGTGGGCACCTGTAGTCCCAGCTTCTAGGGAGGCTGAGGCAGGAGAATGGTGTGAACCCGGGAGACGGAGCTTGCAGTGAGCTGAGATCATACCACTGCACTCCAGCAAGGGTGACAGAGCAAGATTCTATCTAAAAAAAAAAAAAAAAAATTCTGTGAACCAGAATGAGACAAGACAGCAGGAATACAGAAGGTTTGTCCTGCTCTGGGAAGCATGGAGGATGTTGCACTTCACTCCTCTCTGAGGGTGTCTGGGAATACAGAAGCTCCTTGACTTACATCTCAGTGAACCCATCATAAGTCCAAAATATTGGAAGTTGAAAATTCATTGAATACGCTCAACCTACTGAACATCGTAGCTTAGCCAAGCCTACCTTAAATGTTCTGAGAACACTTATATTAGACTACAATTGGGAAAAAACCATTTAACACAAAGCCTATCTTGTAATGAAGTATTAAATAGCTCACGTAATTTATTGAGTACTGTACTGAAAGTGAAAACCGGAAAGGTTGTATGGATATGCGAAGTATGGTTTCTACTGAATGTGTATTGCTTTCACATCATCATAAAATTTTTAAAACCCTAAGTTGAACCGTTGTTAGTCAGGGACCTTCAGTTCTGCCAAGTCCCAGAGAAAACCTTTTTCTCTGGGGAGCACCCACTGATGGCTCATTAGGTCTTCCCTTCCCCAAGGTCCCTGTGTGCCTTTGAGCAAAAAGTGACTTGTATTTGTGAATGTAAAATTTGTGAAACTTGAGTTTTTCCAATGTGCTGTAAAGTGTTTTATTGTAAATTGCTCATCTCAATAAAATTTACTTCAGGTGTGTGGACTGTGCTTCTTGGACTTGCAATTATATCACAACTGGTAACCTTTAAAGTGGGGTCAGCAGGGATTAGAGGAAGGGAGCATGAAGAATATCTACTCAATCCCGCATTTTACAGATGCTGAGATTCAAGCCCTGAGAAATTAAATAGCCAGTTGAGGAACCTCTGCCTCTTTGTCTAGTGTTTCTTCCATTGGTCAGCTGCCCAAGTTCCCGTTTTTGTAGTTAAAAATCTGTGCTGCGTGTTTTAACCTGGGACTCCATCTGTTCCTCAGTGACTCAGGATGAGGTAAAGCTGCCACTCAAGCCTTGAGAGCAATTCTCCCACTTGGCAGTGTGCAGTGCACACCACATTCCCTGTGTTTACCATGCTACCCACTGTAGCCTGGGATCCTACGATCCTACGAGGTAAGCTGGGTAAGCCTTCATTACATGCATAATTACCTGATGCCATTCAGAGTTCAGGAAATTAGTTTCAAACAATTTCACAGAAGGTTGTAAATAGGGGTAATTTGCTAAGCCTAGAGGAAAATTTGAAAGAAAAATGAAAGGCGTAGGAGAAGGAGAAGGAACTAAGAATTTGTTACCACTGCCTATGTGCAGTATTGTGCTAAATGCCTCAGAGCTCATTATCTCACTCACCTTCACAGCAGTCCTCCAAGGTGGGCATTATTATTGCAGATGAGGAAACAGAGGCTCAGCTAACTTAAGAAACCTGCTAAAGATCATGCACAGCTAAACTGGGAAAAGGCTATCCTCTTGCAGATTAAGTTCTGAGAAGGTATGTAGAATAGAATCTTAATTTTTAAAAAATCTAGGATTCCCCAAATTTCCCTGATTAAGAGACACCTTTTTGGGTAAAATCTATCAACCATCCTAAAAAACTAGTGCTTGAGTTACATACTTTGGGAAATGCTTGACTAGATGAGCTCCAAAGCCTCTTGCAGCTCAGTGGCCAAGGAATCCACCATTTTAGTACAGGCAAGATCTATGGCTGCTTTGTGAGGTCAATTCTCATTAGAATTGTCTTCCAAAAAAGCTTCTAAGTGACTCCCAAGTTACTGAAGCCTGCTCGACTGTCTTAGTCCATTTTGAATTGCTATAAAGGAATACTTGAGACTGGGTAATTTATAAAGAAAAGAGATTTATTTGGCTTACAGTTCTGAAGGCTGTACAAGAAGCATGGCCCCAGCATCTGCTGCTGGTGAGGGACCTCAGGGAACTCCATTCATGGCAGAAGGCAAAGGGACCAGGCATCACATGGCGAGAGGAAGGAAACAAGAGAGAGGAGTGAGGTGCCTGGTTCTTTTTAACAATCAGTTCCCCTAGGAACTAACAGAGTGAGAACTCATGCATTACCACAAGGATGGCACCAAGCTGGTCATGAGGGATCTGTCCCCATGACCCAAACACTTCCAACCATGCCGCACTTCCAACATTGGGGATCAAATTTCAACATGAGATTTGGAGGGGACAAATATCTAAACTACATCACTGATTATGGCAGGTTGCCAAGGAAAACTGCCATTCCACAGCCAGCCTGGGCCTCAAGGTCCTCAGGTAGCACAGGTAGAACGCCACTAAACCCTCACTGCTACTAAGCTTGCTGTGATGTGCTACGCAGACCTCTATGGTGATAGGAGTCCTTCTGGGGTGTCTGGATTCAGGGAGAAATCTGAGAAGACTGGGGGTCTTGGAGCTTCCACTGGTGAAACGTGTGGCTTAGAGTGTAGCCTAAAGGTGGCAAGTGGATGCTGCCAGCCTCCTAGTCCTGATCATTAGCATCTTTCTTCATCATCTTCTGCATCTCTGTGCACCCCCCAATTCTCTTTCATTTCAAGGAGTAGTTAGGGAAGGAAGAAATGGAATACATGCAATGCTATATGCATTTTTGAAAGAATAAAAAAAACAACAATGATATGTTTAATGTGAGAAAACTCTGGGGCCCAGTCTCCTCTCTGAGTTTTTATTTTTATTTTTATTTTTATTTTTTTTGAGACGGAGTCTCGCTCTGTCGCCCAGGCTGGAGTGTGGTGGCCGGATCTCGGCTCACTGCAAGCTCTGCCTCCCAGGTTTACACCATTCTCTTGCCTCAGCCTCCTGAGTAGCTGGGACTATAGGTGCCCGCCACCACATCCGGCTAGTTTTTTTTTTGTGTTTTTTTAGTAGAGACGAGGTTTCACCGTGTTAGCCAGGATAGTCTTGATCTCCTGACCTCGTGATCCACCCATCTCGGCCTCCCAAAGTGCTGGGATTACAGGCTTGAGCCACCGCACCTGGCCTATCTGAGGTTTTATAATCTCTCTTGCAGAGAAGAAGCTATCTGTTACTTCATTGGGACAAGTGCTTGATATTAATAGCTCCTTCTTTGTTTCTGTTTCTAGTCCACTGGAGACACTGTCTTCAGACAAGTCATGAATTTAAGATCTTCAGCTGAAACATGAGGAAGACGAATGAATCTTGAACACCGAATTCAGCATGTTGGTGACCTCAGGTGGGAGAAAGGGGTATGGGTTAGTGTGGGGTGGGAACAAGGTTAGATAATTGTCTAGGTTTTAGATTTTGTTTTGGGCAGTGAGTTCATGGGTTCTTATTACATTATTTAAAATAACCAGATGGCTAAAAGCAGGTCATACATGGACGAACATTAAAAGGGTGCTAGAATTGGAGTATGATCAATCCAGTTCTGTAACCCTGTGGTCTATAAACAAACAATAAACCAATGAAAATGGAGGCCTAGAGGTCTAGGCCTTCACTTTTCTTCCCTACATCTTCCAGTCAAGTTACATCTATATTTCCATTATTAAAACATGGAAATACAGTTCACTGCCAAGTTAAAGCCCCTTTGCGACATGGCCACACACATCGAGTGCTCTGCCAACCACCACCAGAACTGGTTCCCCTCGACCTCCTGAGCTATCTATGCTGCTTTGCTCTGAGCTAGTTGCTCTTTACATCTGCAGAATACCTGTTCTCCCAGGACTTTCCTTCTACTTTCTCCAGTGTTAGCTCTAGTCAAGTTTCCAAGGTTCCTGTCTTCCTCTTATTTAGTTTACTCCCTTATTTTGGAAGTCCGTATCTTTCAGCAGTTTCCCAAGACTGCTTAGATGCATAGGACCTCATTTTTTTGAGACCTCATATGCCTGAAAATATCTTTAATTTAAACTCACATTTAATTAGTAGTATGTCTAAATACAGGATAATAGGTTGAAAGGCATTTTCTCTTAGAATTTTGAAGACATTTGTATTAGTTTTATATTTCTGCCTTAACAAATTACCACAGTCTTAGTTGCTTAAACAACACAAATGGATCCTCTTACAGTTCTGTAGGTACATCAGAAGTCTGACAC